AAGAGGGCTCACACACCACCATCAGCCGGGCTCGCAAATTGGCTGCCCCCACTGCTTGCCCAGCGCCATTTCGACCAGAAAGACTTGCCCACAGATCAACCCCGGTCCGATGAGATCATGGCTTGTTTCAGATTCTGCATTCCCGGGCGCTGCGCCTCAGCGGATTCGGCTCATGTGTGGGCCCCGAGGGAACGTTGCCGACCGATGGAACCCTTCTTTTGATGGCTTGATATTTCTTGCGTGCTGAGCCTTTTGCATGTTCGTTGTTGTTGTCGTTGCTCTTGAGCCGCGGGGCCGCTTGCGCTTTCGGGCAAACAGCTCGTGGGAAAAGAAGGCTTCTCTCGAAAGGGGGCTTCGATTCCAATTTTTGGCAAATTCGTCCTCCCTTCTTCCAGTTTCTACATCGGTCACGAGATAGCTAAAAGTCAGTTCTGCGAGTGGGATGCCCTGGTCGGGAGGACACCATTGACAAAAGGACACGGGTGTGGTGGTAATCTCCTTGTCGCTTCAATCGCGGCTGACGGGATCTCCTCGGTCTTTTTTGCGGGTAAGAGCGAAATTTACGACCCATCGCGAGGCTCAAAAATCCGTCTGCAGGGCTCGGGCAAAAAGCCGCAATCCCACGTCCCGCCCGATGAAAAGAGCCAAACCCCGGGCAAGTCGGGCAAGTCGGGATAATTTGCCCAGGTCTGACGGTGGCACGCCAATTTGACATGATGGACACACCCCCATTCCTGACCGCCGCAATGCCATTCAACATTCATATCGCCAACAGCGTCGTGGTCGCGGGGCTTGAAGCCGTCCCTTGACGTCATTCTCGCTTGAGGTGTGTCTCGATGAAGCTATCTCGAAGGCGTTGCTGGAGGACAAACAACACGGCCGAGGACAAGTTCCACTCCGTCTGGCTGCTGACCTGTGCTCACCGCCTGTCTTTGTGAACCTGATCCCGGAGTGCAACTTGATGACGTCCCCAAAGCCGTCACTCAACCCACAGACTGTGACGTTTGATGGACAGATGACACTCTCGGCGCCAACGCAGGGGAGGTGGTGAGTATGTGGTCGGCTGTCATGATGGAAATTCCTCGAGGCTGGCGCGGCTCACAGTCAAGAAGTCGAAAGTTGGCGGGGTGGGAAAATTCGAGTACCCCTCATTTGTTAGCCAAGGAGCCACGTTAACGCTCTGGCAGCGCAAGTGACCTCGTCAACAGGTGGACTGACAAAAGACCCCTCTGCGGTGAGTTTACCCAAACCATCGGCTAAGGCATGTGGTGCAATGGCGCTTCTGAAGTTGAGCCCGACGAGCGCTGTTGGTTTGCCATCGAGTTGGAAGCCTTGGCTGAGGAAATTCCCCACTGAGTGCTCTATCTGTCAGGACCCTGAAGATCCCCCTCGTGAACCTTTCCTTTCTCCGATGCTGATTGGGCCATGAAGAATATGGGACGACACCTGGAGTTGTACACGAGTGTACACTTTCTCCTCCCATTTTCACTCGACATACTAACAATTGCTCACTCCCATTTCCTCAAGTTTTTTCCGAGTGTGTGATTAGAATGGCCCCCTTCTCATATATTGGGTATTAGCGACTGCGCGCCCTCTTGTGACCCAAGCCGCCGATAATCGTTCGATTTTTTGGAGGGAACGGCGGGAAAGAGACCGGTGCCACTTTTGTTGGCACCCCCCTGCCTGTCGACGTCATCAGGCGGGACCGCAACGCGACCACAACCAACCTGATCGTGGAGTTGAAGCGCACTGTGACGTCTGAAGACCACCACAAACTTGGCACAGCGACAGTGGCCTCGCATGGACGACGCGAAAGTATTTCGCCAAACTTTTTGCTTCCTTCCTGCTTCCTTCGCGCCCTCGTGGCGCCCGCTTTCCAAGAACTGTGTCGTCAAACCACGCCCCCGCTCGTTGGTGCCATACGGTAGTGTATACGTGTACATTCCTTCGGGATGGCTCCGGCCGAGTTTATGGCGAGTTCACAATCTGGACATTGAGCCTCATTTGCCTCGGGTAACCGCGCAGTGGGATGCCTGGTAAGCGCCCAACTGCGTCATCGTCGCCAAATAGGAATCTCATCTCGTGGACGGCTCCATCAGATGTACTGCGTATTCGCGTGGGCCTTATAGTTTTCTCAATGTGCAATGTAGCGTAGGTATTCGTAGAGTGTAGAGCCTCCGGCGTTTGCATCTTAAGCTTGTCCACTTGTTCAGCGCCCTGCGCACCGGAAAGAACTAAACCAGGTTTCAAGATCGCGTCGCATGCCCACTCAAGCCGCCACTCTTTCTGATGGGCCGTGTAAATTCTTGGGACGGTTCGTGGAGGCGCCGAGCTGGTTCACATGCTAGACCTCCCCGCAGACCTTTCCCCGCGGACAGGCAGCTCCCCGGCCCCGTGATTCTCCGCTTCCTTAGAATACCGGAGCGCCGAAATCCTGTCGCCGGATCAGCGCTTCCCAGCAGAACGTTCAAGCCGACCGTTTCGCCCTCAGTGCTTGTTGCCGGGACTTAGCCTCTCCGAGTAATGATCGGAGCTGTCGCAGCGCCGCAACCTCGTGCCGGATGCACTGATTTGCGCACTTGAAACAATGGCCAGCCAAGGCCTCGGGAACAGCGCATGGCCCGTGAATCATGATATCTTCAAGTTCTGCTCCACCCCGACCCTGTCCTTTGGACTGGCAGCCTGGCTTGATGACTTGAGAAAGCTGCCCACTGCCCACTTTCCCATCTCTCTCCCTGCCACTTCATGCCGCCGCTGACTCTTGCTTCCTTCCCCCTCGTTGGCTCCCCAAGCTCCCCCATCTGTGTGGTCGGGGTGGGGCCGCCCCCTTGGGGAAGCGAACCTGACGGGCTGGCCGCTGTGCGCAGGGAAGAGAGCAAGGGCAGACCGAAGATCTTCTTCCCCTTCTGGCCTCTTGCCCTTCCCGCTTCACGCTCCGAAGGAACCCCACCCACATCAGATCCCCTTTTCCAGCGGACCACAGACGGATGAAGCCCCTTCGGCAGGCCCCCTTCAAGCCTGCAGCCCGGGCATTTTCTTTGAACCGGCCGAACGAGTCGTCCCCAAATGTTGCTGCCTTTTCACCTTCGCAGGACGCATAGCCAGCCCTCCGTTGAATCGTTCCTTGTATCTCGCCATCAAGCCCTTGCTTCTCTGTGGCCGTTGGTGAGTGCGGGCGAGCACGTGTGTGTAACCATGATTTTAGATTGCATGTGCAGGCTTGAGAGGTTGTACGTCTTGAGCGTGGAAAGAGCTGCGGATGTGGAAACCGGTCTCAACACTGGAAATTATTACATAGCAAGAGGTCAACTCGGCTCTCCCTCGCGTGGTGCGAGTGCTCATCTATCTCCATGCGAGCTCTCGTTCCCCTGCTGGTCAAGGAGGTGGGCTTGCTTTACTGCAGGGGACGAGAGAGCCGAGCCGGCAGATGAAATGAAAGTGCCGCGGCTAGAGCAGATGCCCTGGTGGTATTGCGACCGGGCCTTCCACCGGTTGGGGGACTCTGAGAGGGGGTGGTTGAGAGTTGGGGTCGAAGGGAACCCGCTTGCAGTAGTGTAGTGTCCCAGCCCCGGCGATGTTGCTAGTTAGTCGGAGGGGGGTGCATAGCGGTCGCCGATCCTCGCAGAATCGAGTTGCTGCACGGAAAAGGTCCAACCAGAGCGACCTGTTCGGGGAATGGGCGCTTTCAGATGGCTGCTCATTCCTTAGGATCGCGTTGCGGTGAACGACGGCCACCGGCGAGGTGGCGTCGGGGTCACACGTGCCTTAAAGCAGAGGGGGTGTACTCACATGAAGTATGTAATTGTTTTGAAACAGAAGAGTGGGATGAAATGAAGTGATGGGCGGCAGTTCTTCAACCGAACTGCAACCAAGTCGTATACAGGCGTTATACGTGCCGTGCTATTGGAGACGATCATTCGCTCTGGCTATAATCTGGGTTCGGTAATGGAGAGTAAACGATGGAAGCAGATCCGGGCCAGACCAAAATGGGACGTGGATTATTCGTTCTCGAAGCCTGGCGGAAGGAAGGATCGGGGACGTGGAGCGGAGGGTGCAGCTTCCCCGGAAAGATGTGTCGGGCGCGGCATGGAGATCAGCAAGGGAAAGAGCGAGACGGAAAGGGAAGGTTTGAAAGGAGTGGAAACCGCGGTCCTGCCCCGAGGTGCCTCGGTGACAGCGGAAAGGAAAGAGTGGAAGCCGGGGAAAGAAGGACCTTTTCAGAATGGATTGATTCGCCCAAATATCATCTTGATTTCTTGTCATTGCTTGCTGCCATGCGCAACAGCATAATAGCCAAGTTCGCTAAGTGTACATGATTAAGTTACTTCGTAGCCCTCACAATACATGGGTATGAAGATACATCTAAGTTGCGCGTGTACATTGGTGTACATGTCCTCCCACACCCTACCCTGCCGCAACAAATCGTCGTCGCGCCATGAACCTGATGGCATCTCTGCCCAATCGTTCAAGGCAATACCTTGTGTACACTGCGGCCTACCACCTTTCCTTATTCCCCAAACCGAAGACCCCGTCCCGAGAGCCGTTTTAGTGGTCAGCGTAGGAAAGCGATAACGTACACCGAGGGCGTTAAGCAGAGCGCAAAAGTGCGGTCCGTAGCCCCCGAACAATCAAACTCCATGTTGTCAGAAAGCCGGACAACATTCCCGTGAGAAAGAACCTGAACGCCAATTCGCAAGGGTATCCCACCCAAAGGAACCCCCCCCCCCCCGACCGCCATTTAGGGGTTTGCCACCTGCCCCCTTCCCCCCGCCCACCCAGATCATGAGAACCCCAAATGTGAAGTTGATTAAAGGTATTAACGGCAAGCGATATTGAATGAGAGAATGGCCACGACCGAGCATTTAGAAAGTGTACCCGGTGGTAGTTGTCTTCGGCAACGCGCACATGGAGCGATCGATCGAAGCGAAATTAAAAAGAAGTCGTATGTCAAATCTATCGCGGCTGTGGTGAAGGTGAAAAGTCGAGTCTTGTGGTTGGATTTACGGGGACTCGTGCGTCTCGGAACCCGTATCGGAAGGTGTCTCGCCCCCGCGCTTGTGGACCTTCTTATGGCGCCTCAGGTTTGAAACAACCGAGAACCGACGCCCGCAACCATCGACCTCGCACCCGAACGCTGGAGAAGTGAGTTAGCCGTCGTCCTATATGATACAAAAGAAGGCAACTGGGTGCTGCTTACGTTTCTCGCCGGTGTGGCTGTACATATGCGTCTGGAGGGAACTAGGCCGGGTGAATCGCTTGTCGCAGACCTTGCACTTGTGCTTTTTCTGGGCGCTCGACGACACCCGAGAGCTGAAGGACCCCATCATTGATTGCGGAGCGGGTGGCTGGTTCGACATGAGGCCTTGAGGCCGGGGCAATGCTCGGCCCGAGATTGATTCGATGTCGGACCCAGCCGCAGAGTAGTCGCTCACAGAGCCATCGACAGAACCTCCATAGTAGTTGCTGAAGCCAGCGGACGACATGCTAGACGTGGAAGAGTGCGTCGAGGGGAAACCGTAAGAATCTCCTGACCCCCGAGCACGGTTGCGCACGTCGTAAATGTTTCGGGGTGTGTCTTGGCTCATGGAGAGCATGCCGTGGCTCGCCTCCAACGCATCTTGAAAGCTCCTCCGATCGTCAGGTTGCACAGGCCTGTCATCACGGTCAGATTTTACGCGTTCGCCTGCTGTGGCGTGGCCTGCTACTGACTGCTGTGAATATCTCCTGGCGTTGTCGTCGGGCCCAAGAGCAAACGTCCCCCTCATCTGTGCGGGCGTGTAGCTGAGTTGGTCGTAACCCGAGGCCGACGTGGATGGGTAGGAGGGGTTCACGGGCGAAGCAGTGCTCGCGTAGGTCGTGGTGTCGTAGGCCGCCGAACTGGTCGGCTGCCGTAGCCCGTTCACGTTGTAGGGATCTGAGGGCAGGGAAAGCAGGTCAGGTTGCCTGTAGACGCTTGAGAGAGGGGCGCTGCCGCTGCCCGAGGCCGCGGTGACCGGAAGGGAGCCGTATGTCGCCATCGAGGTACTTGGGCCGGAGCTGCTCGAGTGTTGGCCCTGTTGCGAGTGCGGTGGGTGTTGAGAGTTGGGCGGCTGCCTGGGGATGGCGCTGATGTTCAGGTGAGGAAGTCCCGAGCTGTCTTGGTTGCTGGTATAGAGGCCGTGCGGTTGACTTCCACTTGGGGGTGCCGGTCCTGTTGGCGACGACGAGTTCCAAGGGTCAGAGAAGTGAGGCTGGCTAGAGTATGAAGGCATATGCTGAAAACTCAAGGGACCGAAGCGGCGCCGGCTGTGGTCATCGGACATCGTCAGAGTCATGGTGAGATTTCAAAGAATGTGGTCGATGAGTTTGTCTCTCTTCCGGATCAAGGTGGAAGTGAGATCAACCAGAGTTATCGATGCTGATCAAAGTGTGGGAGCCGAGAATCGAGAAGGACGGATCAGCGGCCTTATGTGTCTTTGAGGGTGCAACAGAGTTGAGACGGGATGGCATCCATGTGCAGGGAACGGGAGCTGGTCTACGCTAGGGCCTAATCCGGTTCACCACCAAGTGCAGTGTCGTCCGAACCTTATTGCCCTCTTGGGTGTGCGGGACTGGGTGTGGGGATTGGGAGGTGGTTTCAAGCAGCTCTGACGACTGCCCGGCAGAGGGATCGACAGTCGAAATATCCTTCTCAAGGGGTGTTGCCAGGGCACGCTTGCCAATTGGGATGAGTGTGGGACCCATCTGAACAGCCCGCGGAGCAGGGCTTGCAGCCGGGGGGTGGGAAGGCACGAAGGTGTGAATGCAGCGGGTGGCACTCATGCAAGCCGTCCTCTTCGAGGATCAGCAAAGCCCCCGATGAGATGTGGGAGATCCGGTGATGCTTGATGCCGGGAAGCTCAAACCACGGCTGTGGGGTCCGGTACCTGGCGACGAGAGGGGTCACAAATGAGATCAAAACTGCACCTGACTAGCCTGACTAGGCGGCAACGAGGCTAATAAACCAAACTTAAACAGGGCTGGTGTGAGACGATCCGGGGGAATCGACGGGGAAATTTGGGGCGTGGGTAATTTTTTGTGTGCTGCGTCGATACACTCCTCCTGCGTGAGAGTAGTGTATGCTGTAAGATGTGCGTGAAGGTGCCGGCACCTTGGTGAGCAGTTTGGCAATCAAACCTGTCACTGAGGTCACTGAGGCACTGCTGCTATTCCATCCATCCGTGCAGTTTGCTTAAAGATAAAGTCCCACTCCAATCAGCCATCCGATTTATGCTCCTCTGCTTGTGGATGACTTTCATCGGGCGAGCGACTTTCCGGGGCGGGGACAAACGAAAGGGGCGGAAGAAAAGGGGAACGATGAAGTCAGCGGTCAGTGACGAGCCAGGGAGCAGGCAAGAGCCGGAGCCAGCGAGGGTTGAAATGAGGACCCCTGGTCTGACCCTTGGGACCTGAGCCTCCAAGAGGCAAAAAGATGGGGGTGCGTCCGGCTGTGGCCGGGGGCCGGGGGGAGAGGGGTGTGGATGTGAGGATGTGAGGGTGTGAACCGTCTTGCAGTCCTCTGAGGTGGGCCGGTGGGGACGACGCGTTCAAGCGGAGCTATAAGATATTGCCGACTAGCAGGGTCAGGTCATCGAGGACAACAGCTCGCCGGGAGGCATACACTACGTTAGAATTACCAGCCCAACATCGGAGAGGTGAATGGCAACGTCTTCCTCTTGTTTCGTCAAAGTGAGTGGCAAAAGAAGGCTGGTTGTCTTCAAGGAGAGAACCCCAAAACGCGAAAAGTAAAGATTTGCGATGACAACGACAACACCAAGTGTTCTTCATCGACTGCGTAGGTATGCTTCGATGTGTTGGTTTTGGGGTCGTCGTGTCATGCAGGGTCTCCTACTTGTGGCGTGATACTCTCCCAGTCCTGCGGTGACGCTCCGGGCCTGCGTCTCGCCGGCAGAGGTCATTAAACTCGCGAAGAGCAGAAACTAGTGCGGTGCCATTGCTTTCTTACTCGTAGACTGCACTCAGTACATCGCCTCATCGGCAAAAGAAAAACAAAACGGCGAGTTCGTTTGCTGAACTTCGTGCGTCTTTTGTCTTGTTGCCCTAGGCGCGGCAAAAAAGAAGAAGCGGGTATCGAATTCTGTTGGAATTGCATGCTGACGCTTGGAGCTGGGCCTGAATTGGCAGGAGCCAAGAGCATTGCCGGCAAATTAACGTCCAGATTTTTTGTGGGTGGAGCTCGCTTTTGCAAACTGTGTTCTAATCCCGTTAGGGAAGTACCTTGCTCGAGAGGAATGTACTCCGGACATGCATCCAAGCTCAGGGCAACTCACCCGCCCAGGTACGAAGTGTGCATCTTATTTTTTTCAGGAAAATGGAAGGCCGGCCGGCCCTTTCGCCCTTTTTACATCTTATAAAACAGCATCGAGGTCAGTTTAAAAATTTACCAGCTGTCTTTGACAAGAAAGGAAGACGAGCCTATCCCTCGCGCAAAGACGGAAGAAACTTGGTACGGCAAGAGGGTGGCACCGAGTGCTCATTTCCCGGCTGTCAACGACATGAAGGAGCGGGGCGCCTGAGCAGGGCTTTTGTTGCAAGTCAAGCGCAGTGACGTCGTTCGGGCTCCGACTTGTATAATGTTGTCCACTCCGAGCGCTCCTCAGTTTCCATGGTTTCATTATTATGTTTGGCGCCATCCTAGCCTCTACCGGCATGACGCAACCCGAAGCATTTCCCGGGCACATGAGAGCGCCGCCAGCGAACCGGAACGACCGCGGCAAGCACTTGAGCTCCGTGGCTCCAAACCCGAAGTTTGGACGCGGGGTGAGCCCGGCCCCGGGAAACCGTCACACAGCACAGACACGAAACCCCAACATCAAACTCCAGCCGGGTTCGGAACGAAGGTCATTTCGCCCGCCTCGAGTAAGTTACTGCCGTGCGTTCAGAGCAGCTCTCACCGCCACCCATCAGAGAAACACGGACGCCCTCTGAACCAGAAATTTTGTGGTAGAAGTCAGATATTCGCCCCCGGGACACTCCTCGTCGATACGGATAACATTGATGCTTTTGCTCCACGCGAGGAAAAAAGCCCGCAGGGCCGCGATATCACTTGATGAACCACCGCATTACGATGCTCCACCCCCCAGCCTTTGCACGTACATATGTACGCTAGCTGACTGTGGTACCGAAATTTCACCTCTCCCAGCTGGAGCGAGGTGGTGTATTCGTAGTTGCAATACCGCGCCTCCTCCACGACGTCTTCGTCACAACACCCTACGCAACCGGTGATGAGTCCGCACCGGGAACACGCAGCAATGAAGAAAGCAACATCGCGAACGGACCCACTTTCTCCCACCCAAAAGCAAGGGAAGAACAGCCTGACCTGTGCGAGACACGGCAGCTGGTGGCCAATCACGGCAGACGAAGCGGGACCGGAGTCCCTGACAGATCCCGCCAGCCCCGCACAACCATCTCGGGGCGCCTGGTGAGAAGAAAAACGACCGATGACCTCAGCTGTCTTGCTGTTGGGTGTCGCAACCACACCTTGACCGCGCGGTATCCAACCCGCACAAACCATTCAGAGCTGCCATCGGCCCTTCATTCGTCACAGCCTTACACTTACGCCGAAGAAAACATCGATCCCGCCGTGACCTTCGCTCCATTCAACCCATGTAACCACAAAAACAGTACACTTGTCATCCAATTTTTCTCCGCGAGCTTGTTCTTCCGCCTCGCGATGGTGGCAACAACAAACCGTTGCCGGCAACAGAAGGACGGGCTTTTGGGGGACCCTCGAATTGCGACTTGAACTAAACCGGAACCGGTGGGACGAAACTGAAAGCCGGACAGGGGGTCCCTTGTAGGTCGGCGATATCCTTCGATACAAGCCCGACATTGGCTGCTTCTGCACCTCCCAGAGACAAGCATCCTGAATACCATTCCACGTACGAGTGTGTGTATGTAGTGTAGTGTACACCATCCCCCCAGCGACGGCTAACAATGAGAACAAGTCGCGAGTGCGGCAGTGCGACTGCCCAGTGGAGTTCCTCCGCAAACTTCAAGACTGAAGTAAATTTCGCAACCGCAGGGAAGCGCAGTCGTTATCCCGGAATTTACCTTCGTATCAAAACGGGAAATTGGAAAATGATGTCGAAAGCTCGACTCGGCTTCGACTGGATCAGTGATTGTCAGGCACCTGGCGCGGATCAGGGACCGTTTCGATCGACATCCACGGTGCCGTGCGGTGACAAAAGTGACGATCCCAGATCCTGGCGTGTCAGTCTCACGTGCCGAGAGTCGGTTTTCCGATTCTCGGTGCTCCGGGTGAATGGATCTTGAGATCTTGAAAATGCAAAAACTTGGTGGAGTGTACCCAGGAGGAGTTGACTCGCAGAAAGCAACAAGTCATCTCGGAAGGGGGAGGAAAGAAATTAGCAGGACCGTGCGTGGGGCCAGCAAGCTCGGGGTCCTGTCAACATGGAGACGAAGGTGCAGTGGACGTCGTTACATGGAGCCAGCTGCCCATGTGCCGGGGGAACGCACGGCCCAGGGTCAGAATGGAGATTTTCCGAGCGTCCCGTCCGATGCCGGTTCTAGTTGCTCTCATGAGATTTCGCTAACATTCATTGACATTCGTTTAGGAGGAAGCTCTTCGCTGCGGCAGTTAATTTCTCTGCCTCAATGACGGCCCCAAATACAGCTTTTTCATCCTCTGCGACCGTTTCTCTCCGTTCTGCGTACCACGGGCGACGTCATGTTAGCTAACATGCAGTTAAATTGTCTTACGATATCGCGTGTGTAATTAACATTACGGTAATTTTCCCGCGCATGGGCAATTTATCAAACCCCAGCACTCAACGGTCGCGCCCGGCTGCGAACCCGGCGGTCGGAACCCGTGAAATTTGAGCGAAGAAGAGCCGGGAGGCGCGCCATCAACATGCATCATGGAATGTGGCTTCGCCAACAGAAATCTACTGGCGTACAATATCAAGCAAGCAAGAACCGAGACGGCACAACAAGTGCATCGGGCGGCAAGACTCCTGCAGTGGACACCCAGCGCAAACGACAAATCTCACGACAACAATATCGTTGATCTGATATTCTGCCCGCCGGCCGGCATCAGCAAAATTAACCAACGTTTTGACTAAGTTCGTAATCGTGCTGGAACATATAGTTAAGGAAGGATACACTAGAGGAGGCTCCGGAGTCAATTGACGACAAGCTCTCTCATTCTGTTCTCTGCCAAGAATCCTTTTCTGCAAAGGGCGACTTTTCATATCACGATACGAGGAGCTCATAATACTAGACCGCAGAGGGTAAATTACCATTGCACACACTA